CAGGCGGCGCAAGCGCCCGCGGGCCTCGGCGGCCAGAGGCGCAGCGCCAGCGCCGGCAGGTAGCGCTCGCCCGCCAGGCGGCGGTCGCCCTACGCGGGCGGGAGGAGCCAGCTGCCAGCTCCCTTCCCGCTCGCCGAGCGCAGCAGGGCCGCTTGCACCAGCGAGAGCGCTGCCAGGAAGTTCTCTTGCCCTGGCACCGTTCGTGGCGCGCGAGCGCCTTCTGCGCCTTCGACCCGAAGCATGGGCTCCGCCGCGGCACTGAGCCACTCGCCAGCGCCGAGCCAGAGCGCCTTGCCAGCCTGCTCCGCGGCGCCCCAGAGGACGGGCAGCTCGAGACGAAGGCGCCCAAGCTGGCTTCGCCCAGCCCCCGCCGGACGCCCGCCAGGCAGCCGAGCCGCGAGCCAACGGGGGCGACGAGCCTGCACTGGGCCACGCCGCGCACGCCTGGCCCCCCCCTCCGACCGAGGAAGAACGAGCTGCCACCGCGCATTCGGCGGCAGAGGTCGCCCGAGCAGGCTCTCCAGGCCCCCAGGTGTCCCGCCACCTCGTCGTCGAATTCCCGACGCCACTCCTCGCCGAGAAGGCGAGCCCGCGCGCGGCGCTGCGCCGCCCCGTTCGCGAACGCCCCGACGAGGACCGCCTCGTCCTGCCCCTTGAGCCCGCGCGCCCAGAGGCCGCGCAGCTTCCCGAGGCAGGCGGCCAAGCGCTCGGTCGGCGCCGCCGGGGCCGCCGTTCACGCGAAGCTGACCCCCGCCAGGTCGGCGCCGAGCCCCCCCGCCGCCGCTCCGACGCGCACGAGCGCCAGGAGCGCCCCGCGGCAGCGCATTTGCGGCGCGACCTTCCCGGCCAGGCACGCCAGGAGCGGCAGGCACCACGGGTTCCACACCACACTTGCGTCTTCGCCGCGTTCACCCATAGGCCCACCCGGGAGAAGGCGGCGGGAGCGGCGGCGCATGCTGCCCCCAATGCCGCCGGCGCGACCCTGAGGTAGCTGTCGCCGAGTAGGCAATGAAGCCAGCAAGCGCGCCTCGGGGTCGACGGCGGCCGCCGCCTCGAGGGCGACGCACGCGTCCGCCACGGCGACGGCGAAGACGGCGGGGAACAGGGGGCAGCCTTGGTCAAGGCCGCGCTCCGCGCGCAGCGGCTCGACTCCCCCTTCCTGCAGATGGGCGCCGTGCGTGACGGCACCTCCGTGCCACGCAGCCGTCGCTCCAGCCAGCTCAGGGAGCTTCCCCGCCACTGCCCGCAGCACGGCGTCCGAGTCGGCCTCGTTGAAGGCGCTCGAAACATCCAGCATGAGCAAAGCACTGCCCGGCGACTTCTCCACAGCGCCGGCGACCGCACGCTGCTTGACCTCAATGCCGCTCTTCCGGGTCACGCCGAACTGCCAGGATCCGACCGCCGCGGCGACGGTCGTCTCGTTGGCGCCAGTGGCAGCTTTGCCCGCCATGCGCCAGAGGGTCTCGCCGCACGCTAATGGGCGGATGCCCGCGGGTGGCTTCCGCAAGGGCAGAAGCCTTCCCCCGAGCATGGCCCAGGCCGCTCGCTCCGGCATCTGGCCACGCACGATCAGCTCCAAGACCTTCGCGACGACATCTGGCCCGTCGGGGCGCTCACGGACCGTCGCCCAGTGCTCGAGCCGCACCCCTGTCTGGCCTGGCCCCGAGTGCCTCGGGAACTTGTTCAAAATTCCGGCAATTCTGGTCGCCGCTCACCCTCCCAGGCCGCGGCGGCCACCTGGGGCGCGGGGCCGCGGGGGCCGGGCGCGGCGGGGAACGTCGGGGCCAGTTGGTTCGCCACGCCCGCGCCTGTGGCCAGCCTGTTCTGCCTGGCCGCTGCCGCAGCCGCCTGGCTGACCTCGCCCAACATGATGGGCTCGTGCACGCGGAGAGCCTAGGCCTCCATACTGCGCTGCGGCTGCGCCACACCCGCGCCCCTCTCGCTTGGGCGCTCGGTCTCAGCCCACGAATTCGCAAGCCCCCTCGTCGCCTGGCTGGGCAACCACGGCGCGGCACGCGGCCGCCAGGATGTCGCCGACGGTCGTGTCCAGGCTCGGCTGGACGGCGGCACACGTCGGCACCGGTGCCCTGAGCGCTGCGCGCACGTCGAATCAAGACCACCAGGCACCGCCAGGCAGTTCCCCTGCTCCAGCGGCTGCGGTGTGGCGCGGCGGGACGTCGTGGACTGTCGCGTCTTCCCTCGCCTCCTCGGCGCTGGGCGGCGGGTCCAGAACGACGCGCGCCAGCGCCCGCCTCTGGGCATCCTCCGGCAGCGCGGCCAATCCCTGCACACTGCCTTGGGGAATGCTTCCCCGAATACAATGCGGGTGGCGGAAGTCCCGGTCGGGGTGCGCCGTGCTCGCAAGCCGCGCCTCCTCAAGCTCGAACCCCGAGCAGCACAAAACGCACACTGCCACTCGCTTGCGTCGAGGCTGGAGGCTGGAGGCTGGCTCCTCCTCCTCTTCCTCTTCCTCCTCCTCCTCCTCCTCCTCTTCCTCCTCCTCCTCCTCCTCCTCCTTCACCTCCACTTCCTCCTCCTCCTCCTCCTCCTCCTCCTCCTCCTCCTCCTCCTCCTCCTCCTCCTCTTCCTCTTCCTCCTCCTCCTCCTCCTCCTCTTCCTCCTCCTCCTCCTCCTCCTCCTTCACCTCCACTTCCTCCTCCTCCTCCTCCTCCTCCTCCTCCTGCATGTTACCGGCCGCATTCTCTCCACCGGAAGGAGAGCGAGCTACACGGCGGAGGTCAGCTCGCCACGTCGACCGAGCGCCCGGCCTCGAGGGAATCAGAGGTCCTCTCGACGAGCAGAAAAAGGCATTCGGTAGGTTCGTGCGGCGTCGGCGCGCGCAGAGGTTTTAACATCGCGTCGATCATTCAGCCTTCGACCGATCGCGGCCCCGATCGTTCAGGGTTGATTTCCGTCGGGTCCTGTGGCGTTACCCTCCTTGTATCATGCGAAATCCAACCTTGGACGCCTTCGCCGGCGTCGCCGGCGCGCCATCGCCGCGCGAACCTACCGTAAACAACACTTCTTGCGGGTCCGCGCGGATTTCTTAAATCGGCGCTGGATTCCCGTCCACGGCGCGCGCAGCGCGCCAGAGGAGGCGCTGGAGGCGCTGCCGGGGAAGCTCCAGCGCTGATGCAAGAAATCCGCGCGGAGCTCAGGCAAATTACGTTTCTGTTAATGTTGTTCCTTCTGCGATCCTGGTCCGCCGCCCCGAGGGTGGCAGGGGGGGCCTTGTTGCCGCCATCGTGCTCCACGTTGTCCTCGCCGCCGTCCTCCTTCCAGAGGCCGTCCTCCTCATTCTGGCCCACGGGGAGAGAGTAGCCCAGCTGCGCCGAACCGGCCTTCGGCATCCACACCTGGGGAGAGATAGAGAGAGGGAAAAGAAAACGGCATGCGGTCAACCCGTAGAATAAGGGCGCACGATAAGGATGCAAGGGCTTCGGAAGGCCATGTCCACACTTTGCGAGCGGGGCGCGGCCAGCGATGGGCAAAAGGGGAAGGATGCAAGGGTAACCTTGGGAAGTCGCTCACCCTGATTATGCGGGTTGACTGCGAGCACAAACGTTCGGAGCTCCGCGCAGATTTCTTGCATCGGCGCTGGGCTCCCCCCTGGTAGATCCAGCGCCGATTTGAGAAATCCGCACGGACCTCCGAAAATGTATCTTCGTGCCGTTTTTTACCTTCCAATACCCACATGGCGACGACGACCATGCACGCGAAGTTGACCTGTGAAAGGCCGCCGTCGGCGAAGTACTGGTACTTCCAGGACACCTGCAGGGAGCCCATGCTGTCCAGGAGCTGGAGCAGCGCCACCAGCACGGACGCAGCTAGCGAGCAGATCAGGGCGACGGTAAAGCGGGAGACGGCTTTCAGCTGCTCATCCAAGCTGCGGTCCTTCAAATGTCTGGAGAGTCTTGCGAGAGACGAGAAGATCCAAGCGAAGATCATGATGTTGACGACGAACGAACCAACAGCCGTGAGGGTCATGAAATTGAAGGAGATCTGGAACGTCTGCCGGTGCACCATGGCCCCCTCACGCAGGTAGCTGATGACCACCCAGACGACCCCGAAGAGGCCCATCTTGAGCAGCATCCAGTCATCCACGACTTCCTCTGTCATCCTCCAGCCCTGCGCGATCACCAGGATGAAAGTGTAGGAGGTGTAGCACGTCAGCGTCGTGAGCATTACCAGAACGCACACGATAGCGTCCGAAGAGTCCCCAGACAGGTTCATGGTGTAGAGGTGGACAGTCCAGCACACGCACTCCAGCAGCTTAAGCCCGATCACTAGGCCTACGATCGCGTGAATGGCAATCAACTCCTGCATCCAAGTCAAGCAGAGACCGCCCCAAATGATCGCCAGGGCCATATACACTACCGTGGTGTAGCCGTAGAATGTCATCTTGTGGTACTCTGTGCCGGACATGTAGCCGAACGGGTTCCTCACAGCGACCTGGCCAGACACCTCGGCCAGGGAGACGTTTCCGCAATTGGACATAATCAAGAAGTACACACCTGTCTTGTTGAGGCTCTTGTGCAGGAACTGACTCTTGGTGAAACCGACGGTGTTCATGTGCATGACGGTGCCCTCACTGGACAGCTGGTCACCAATGCAGAGTGGGCCCTTGGCAATGTGGCTGTCGTAGTCTTCTTTACTGATCAAGGAAAGCTGGAGGCTCGCATAGTTCTCGAGGTCCACGTCCCCCTTGTTCGGGTCAGTGGAATGCGCCTGCAAACCCTTAAACTCGACAAACGGGCCGTCATCAGCCTTGGCGGGCGGTCCGTCGGGAGGAGCGTAGACAGTGAAGGCCGAGAGGCCCTGGAGCGAGTAAGCGCTTGGGATAGGGCGCTTCTCTAGCTTGAAGGTCTCTCCAGAAGATAACCAGAAAGCCTGCCCGAAAGTGACGAGCAGTGCGAATGTTCTCGCAGGCGGCATGGCTGCTCCTCGGCTAGATGCCCGCAAAGCTTCAGAATGCGAGCTGCACACCTCGAGCCCAAATGCATGTATGAACGCGTCAGGCCTCTGTCGGAGCCATGTGAAGAGCTGTGTAGCACATATGCAAAGTACGTTTCACCCCAAGTTGTCGTATTTGCGAAGGTCAAACTAGCACACTGGATATTATACACATGGATACACATATTATGTGAGTCCAGAATCATGTTCCCCATACCATACAATGTACACCACAACACCAACAATGTTGAATCCCTTATTGGCAGCAGCGGTTTTTCTACATTGAACACACATGTATGGTATCTCGTTCTGCTCAAACGGATATGTGCCCAAAAGCTCTCATCTACGCATTTCTCGGCATCTGTCCCCCAACTCTGCCCAAGCCATTCTTGGTTCGACTTTGACCGCCGAGGGCTCACTATCTCTCCGCGGCCCTTCGCTCAACCGCTCGGCAAATCAAGTCAAGGCCTCCCAGCCGAGCGTCCTGCTGGCTGGCCACTACCCGCTCGAGAAGCGACCCGAGGCCGGTAACCTGCAGGAGCTGGCGCGCCGCCAGGCCGAGGCTGATCCTCCGCATGCTGACTTGCAGATCCGTGGTCGATTCTCCATGTGTCTTTCCTTCTCGGTGGTGGACAGAGCTCCAAGAAGCTACCCCTACTGAAACCGAAGAGAAAGGGCAAAAATGGATAAGCAGAGAGACCCGAGACAGCGCGGCGACACGCCAAGGGCCCAAGCGCAGGCGGAGCAATCCTCCTGGGCACCGCCATCAGAAAATGCAATGATGTTGTACGGGTGTGGCTAAGCGCCACGCTCCTCTCTCCACGATGTCCTTCGATACATCGTCAAGTTATACAAGAAATCTGCCAAGACATGGATATCTGAACTGACCCACATCACCGAATCATCCCGGTCGCGCGGAGGCAGCCATTCGCAACTTAAAATGTCACACAGCACGGGTTGCATTCGCTGCCCAAGAGAACACCCCAGGATGCCATAGTGCCCCCAAGAGACCCTAAGACGCTCTCAGAGACACGCAAGAGGCACCCAAGACGCCTCGATAGGGCCACAACGCGTCTCAAAAGTCATCGCGGAAGATCCTCCACGCACTCTGTCGCCCCCATGACCCCCCGCCTTCTCCTCCTCCTCCTCCTCCTCCTCCTCCTCCTCCTCCTCCTCCTCATCCCCCTCCTCCTCCTCTTCCTTCTCCTCCTCCTCCTCCTCATTCATTCATTCATTCATTCATTCATTCGTACATTACATTAAGGGCAGAGTCAGGACGCCCATGCTCTGGAAAAGTACAGAAAATAGCGGGACCAGGGCCGTGAGACGGGTCTTCGACGACCTCGTCGACCCAGTAGACGGAGGCCGCATGTACAAGGAACTGATGGGTAACGTCCAGCTCGACAGGGTCGGCGAGACCCCAGCGGCCAAGATCACGCGACTCCAGAAAGTACTGGGAGGGGTCTTCAGCTGCGTCTGGCACGCCTACACACGAAAGCACCCAGCGGGACCCAAAGGCAAGGCAAAAAGCGACCCCGCGCGGAATTCAGAGGCAACCTGCCGCGAGTTCCTGGACGCCTGGAAGCGCCGCGGGTACGACGCCTACGAGATGGACCGGCGGCTCGACCTTCAGGTCGACTGGGACCGGGAACTCGCCAAATTGACGGGGAGCCAGGGCAAAGGCACCCTCCAGCCTAAGGGCCGAGCGACAAGCTCCCAGCAGCACTGTGACTGGGACAGCTGGTCCTGGTCCCAAGCCTGGGACGACGGCGACTGGCAGACGGGGGGCAAGAGAGGCGGTGACCACAGCGGCGACGGGAGGGGCGACAAGCGCTCCCGCACATGGCGGTGACCCAGAGGTTCCCGGCAACCAGTGGCCAACAGACACTCCCTGGCAGCACTCACTGCTTCTCCCCTCCCCCCGCGGCATCTCCCCCGCAGCGGCCTCCTGCCGCCTTCAGGACCCCCACCCCTCCCAGCATTGCGGGCGCGCCCGCCCGTGTTTCACACCAGACGCAGCCCGCCGCGCACGCGCGCCTTGGTCGCTGTGGTTCTTGCAGAAAGTGCCGCCTTCAGCTGCTCCCGGTACCCTAGTATGCCGACCAGCTGCGGGCCACAGTGGGCCACACGGCATGGGGGAGCGACGACCCCCTGTCCGGAGGGCGAGCCCAACAACTGACAGAAGTCTCGCAGAGGTCTACCACTGCGGCGACGGGGGAGACGACACACGCTCCCGCACTTGGTGAGGGTCCCTCTGTAATCGGCAAACCAGTGGCCGTTAACCACTCCCTGGTTGCGCTGTCTGCCCAGCTCCCGCCGCCCCCCGCCCTTGGGATCCTGGCTGCGGCCAGCTGCCATTACTGACATGTGGACGGCCGCTGGGGCCGGGGTCCCCCGTCCCGCACGGCCCGTGGGACTCCAACATTGCGGGTCTGCCCGCCCGCGTTTCACGCGTCGGTCGCTGTGGTTTCTTGCAGACAGCGCCGCCTTCAGCTGCTCTCTGGCACCCTGGTATGCCGACCCACGGTGGGACACAGCGGGCCACACTGTTCGGGGGCGTCACGCCTTCCCTGCCCGGAGGACTGGCTCAGCGGCTGAGGAGGGCCCACGTGGGTCTTTCACTGCGGCGACGGACGAGGCGACATACGCTCCCGCACTTGGTGACGTTCCCTCTGCAATCGGCAAATCAGTGGCCGTTTGTCACTCCCTGGTAACGCTTTCTGCCCAGCTCCCGCCGCCCCCCGCCCTTGGGATTCTGGCAGCGGCCAGCTGATAATACTGGCTCGTGGACGACCGCTGGGGCCGTGGTCCACCTGCCCTGTCTGGCCCTCGGCCCTCTGTAGCTGTTTTCACCACACCGGCGCGCTCCAGCCCCCGCGCCCCCTGGTTCCCACCGTGCTGGTGCGGCTCTCCCCCACGGTTGGGATACCAGCCCCGCTCCTCCCTTCCCCCCTGCTCATGTGGCTGTCCTGTCCCAGGGCTTGGGGCTCCCGAATGCACGTGGTACAGCCTGTGCGCTCCCGGCTGCCGGCGACCGCGTCGATTCGCGTTACGGTCCCTGGCGGCGCCGCCCACCCACGGCCACCTCTTGCTATCTCAAGCCGTCGTTGAGGCGTAGACCTCCATGGTCGGGCAGCCCTCAGTCGTCGGTAATAGCTTGAGAGTGCGCGTGGCCTCCCATGGTCCAGTAGTTCAGGCGCCGACGGTGTCGAGTTCCTCCATCGTTCCCCTGGCTGCCTCGCCCGTGTCCGGCGTTTTCCGCGCCCGGGCGCTCGCAGGATCAGCACTCCTCTCCGGGGCTTCGGTGTGCGACTTTGGTGGCGCCACCCTGTGCACCAATTTGGGCCCTGTCGGGCACCCCTGGCTGTCCCCCCTGCGTACCGACTGGCACCTCCCTGGTCGCACCCTGGCAGAGCGCCGCGCCATTTTGGCTGCGTCCCAACTGCGGTTGGTTAATTCGCTGCAGCTCAATTCACACCTGGTGACCCTGCTCTCAAGACGTCGCACGCTTGCAGCCCCCTGGCAGCCCGGCAGCTTGCAGCCCCCGCCCCCGGCTCCTCTTGCTGCCCCGGCGCTGAGGCACCCGCCGCTGTAGGTCCTGCTCTGCTCCGCGCTGGGTAATTAGGCCCCCGCGCGGCCCGCTCGGACCGTACTCGCCGTCGGCGCTCTGGCCTGCGGCTGCTGACAAAAAAAATATCCCCACCAGCTCATCCAGGAACGACGCCCAAGCGCGCTGAGGTGATCAGGGAAGTGTGGGGGGCCCTCTTGGGCTCTTGATGGGCCCATAACATGGGTGACGATGACGACGACGATGCTGCTAACTACGGTGGCGAGTGGAGGATGAAAAGGTGAATGGGCGGACGAGGGGGGGGAGGGGCCGTGGAGGTGGATGGAGGGAGGGGGGGGGGCATATTCTCGCCCAGTGTCGATCCCATCCAAGCAAAACTTCATGAACGGAGCGGAAGGACCCGAAGGGAAGGGCATCGCACTAAATCCCACCAGCCCTCTGGGCGTGGGTGGTCTAGAGGTCTAGAGCGTTGCCTCTTCCAGCTTCGAAATCAACCCCATCTCCCTTCCCTCTTACCTGGGGCCCTGAGCCAAAACTACGACGCTTGAGCCAACACTACGACGAAGAGGCCCTATTAGGGCCTTCTTGGGCCCCTCCTGGGGTCCTTTTGGGGTCTTCTGAAGACCGCGACGGGTCGTCACAGAAAGAGGCCCTGCGTGACAATCCCAAGCGGGGCCCTCTTGGAGCCCTCTTGGGCCCTCTTGGGGTCCTTGGTGCCATCGTGGGGCCCTCTTAGGGCCCCCTTGGCGCCCTCATGGCGCCCTTCTTCGGCCTCCTACAGACAGCGAGGGGTTGTCACGGGAAGGGGCCCTGCGCGGCAACCCCAGGGGGCCCTCTTGGATCCCTCTCGGGCCCTCTTGGGGCCCTCTTGGTGCCCTATTCGGCCCTCTTGGGCCCCTCCTGGTGTCCTTTCGGGGTCTTCTAAAGACCGCAAGAGGCTGTCACAGGAAGAGGCCCTGCGTGACAACCCCAGGGGGCCCTCGCGGGGCCCTATTGGGGCCCTCTCGGGGCCCTCTTGGGCCCCTCTTGGGGCCCTGTTAGGGCCCTCTGGGAGCCATCTTATAAGCCAACCAAGGGCCCAAGCGGGCTCCAAGAGGGCCCCGGGAGGGCCACAAGAGGGCTCCAAGACGCGGCCCAGAGACCACTGGGAGGTCTCATCCAAACGCGCCGTTCGATGAGACCTACTAGCGGTGTCTCGGGCCCATCTTGGGCCCCTCTTGGGGCCCTCCTAGGGCCCCCACCATCCGCAGCAATCTGGGCTACTCAAGCCATTGGATTGACCGAGGCGAGCCAGACAGGCGGAGACGGACTTGTTGCGCGCGCCCCCCCCCCCTCCCCGCGCGATATCCCCTCGACGTCGCGCGGCGCTTCGGCCAGCCAATCCATGATGGCTAGACTGCAAGGCAATCCAAGCTCAGCTACGTTGCAAACAAATACAGCGGCGCATCTGGGCATGCCACGCCTAGCTAAGCCACGCCG